ACCAGTGAGTATCGCCATTCTTAGCACCACACAACAACTCGTCAAAGAGACAGGACGAGTTGTTGTGTGGTGCTAAGAATGGCGATACTCACCGACGATGCCGACTACGATGCGGGCGAAACGTTTGGGAATGTACCACGTCCACGGTTCAACTTTGGAAATAATCATGCAGACAATGGACCCCGGACTAGGTGCGTTCCAATAAGTCTTCCTACCAATTCGACCATGTTGCGAAAATAAGGTCAAACAACCTCTTTAAGGAATATTTGTTTTCAAGCAGACTATTTATTAATCTAATACTACTTGTTCTAGATACAAAGAATAACTAGCATAAGGTCATAAATTTATTCAGTACGACTATCGCTATCAAAGTTGGGCTCCTTCTAGAGAAAAATCTAAACTTCTCCTTCTCAACTGAGAAGAATCATTCTGTGGAGCTACTGTTAGAATACATTATTGTAGCAACCAAGCTGTCAGAGAAAGTTAAGAGTAGTATTGAAAGAAAAGCGATTCTCCATTTCGGCAAGGCAACTATTACAAAAATATGGATATGACGACCAAGATGTTGTTGCCTCTACTTTGGTCGAAAGCTCCTTTCATTGTATATACGTGGTCTAACCCCGTAGTTTGCATCATTGATAGCCTTAAACCATTGACTTTGTACATTCCCAGGCGTCGTCCTTGGGTCTTGCCATTTTCAGCATTAAGTTACAACTCGTCGAAAAGACACGAAGAGTTGTAGCTTGGTGCTGAGAATGGCAAGACTCACTGACGGCTTCGATTGCGATGCCGGCGAAACGTGTGGGAATGTACAAAGTCCATCGCTATGCATAATACTAACTACTATAGCAGAGGATGTGGGACAAGGTGCATCCAACTAGGTCTCCCTGACAATAAGACCAAGTTGCAAAAACGAGGCTAAACTACTTTTGCTACAAGAAAAATTTTATAATGTGAATACGCTTTCCAGATATTTGTACCAAAATAATCTGTTCGCTTTGAAGACAAATAAGGACCTACTGTGGTAATGATGTCTAGGTTTAAATATATAGACAAAATGGCGATCCATTTGAATGACCTGGAAACACACAAACTTTTGGTGAAGGAACCGATCTAGGGT